GTTTTGTGGAATTAGAATTCTTTTCTTAAAATCCCACTAAATGTATAACTTTTAATTCAGCCACCAAATATGTTATTCAATTTAAAACTCCAATTCTAGCCCAATTTGTCTTTTATTTCCTCTCCTTCGTTTGACAGTTTACTTTTGGTTTTACAATTCCCATAGGCCACAAAGTTTTGTGGTCTAAGTGCACTCAAGGCCCAATTTCAATTCCAACGCATTATTTATCTTCAAGGCTTCAATTCTTTCAAGTAATGCATTTTAGTCCTTCGATTCCTATAGTGTAGACTTTGATCCACAAAATTGCAATTTCATTCAATTTCGCCATTCTTTCTTTTCCATTGCTTTGTCTTCCAAAACCTCGTGTCTTCAATCAATTGGTACTTAGATCGTTCACCTCCTTGGTTTTGCTTCTGGGTTCATCTTTTGGTTATTTATATTTTGGTCCCTAAACTTTCATTTTCTTCCTTTTTGATCCCTTTTCATTACTTTTCTATTGAATTACACCATATTCATCAACATTGTTCTACAAAATGAAATTATATAGAATTAAGTCCTATTCAAACACTTTTATCAACAATTAATTATGTTTTATGGACAAAATAAGTGTATGAAAAACATACTTATCAATTAAACATAATTGAATCCTGCAATTGAAAATAAAAATTAAATATTTTTCCCCCTTTTGAACGTTGTCTAGCATATATCAATGCAAAAATCCTAAACTACTGACATTTTTATTGTTATAAAACAAATATCGATGTAATAATTTGTTGACAATTATTAATGATTGATATTTGCCTTTCATTTTGTGTAAAAAAAAAAAAAAAAAGAGAGAGGAAAAGAAAAAAATTTGAATTGTATAGTAATAATAACTTCATATTTACAGTAATTGGCTTTCTTAGCTCGATTTCATAAATGTATAAATCTTTATGTAATATATTTTTTTTAAATTGATAAATTAGGCAATTAAATGACTTCAAATTTCTTGTAAAGTAGGACAATCAACCTTGTGACATGAATGGACTTTAAACAATTGACAAGGACACATCATGTGCGAACCTCCTAATCTTCTTTCATAGCTTCAACAACTTGCCATATATATTTTTTTCCAACTAACTTGTATAATTTCATTAAGCCCCTATTTGTTTTTCATTTGAATTAAAATACATTTTTCTCTCTTCTTTTCAATCATACATTCTTCTCTAAAATAATATTATACATAAATATAAATTTTTTCTTTCTTTTTTAATCACATTTTTCAAAAAAAAAAATCACATTACAAAATACATTTTTTCCAAAATTTGATTTTAATAGAGTCCAAACAAGGGCTAAGTACGTAGTAGATAGACGGCCATCTTTGTATGTTTTGTCAATACTATACGTTAATGCTGGGTGATCCATCTAATAATTGTGTGGCTTGTTGTCAACTTGGAATAACAAGAATCAAGCTTATGTTTACTGCTAGTCTTGAAAATTATCAATCACTAGATGGGATAACAATTACAACAAGAATTATCATGTGAGGTCACCACTAGTCTATGATGCCATAGATGAAGACTAGAAATGTCTAAGGCAATATAAAAAATCGGGTGTGTTAAAAAAGAGTAAATACAAAAATTAGTATAAAAAAGGTAAAACAAGAAAAAGAAAATTTATACTTACTTTTATTATTTAAAATTGAGGACAAAAATGTCCTTTCATTAAGGCCCCGTTTGGTACCCATTTTTTTTCAAAATGCATTTTTCTCTCTTTTCTTTTCAACCACACATTTTTCATTAAAATAATATTACACTTAAATAAAAAACTTTTCCTTATTTTTCAATCACATTTTCCATCAATTTACTATTCCAAAATGCATTTTTACATAAAAATGACTCCCAAAATTATAATTAAATTTGACAGATTTTTCTCCTCTATCTGATAAGTCCTTGTTCGAATCCGATAGTTGAACTTAGTAGGACTATAGTTGTGATTAGATTGTTATAACGTTAGATGCTTGCTTTTTCTTTGGGGAAAAAAAAATTACATGACAAAATAAATCCTTATTTCATTTTTTATTTTTTATTTTTAGATTTACTTGTACATCTTTTTATTTCTTCCAAAAATTTTAATCAGTTAATGTTTATTTTTATAGCCACAAGTGAATGGCCAAGTTTTATCTAACAACTAGGGGTGGCAGGGATCGGCTCGGCTCGTCAACCCACGAGCTCGGCTCGGACTCGTGGCGAGGCGAGCTCGTGGCTCGTTTTTCACGAGTCGAGCTCGGGCTCGGCTGGTTGCTTGTGGGCGAGCTCGGCTCGGCCCACGAGCTCGTGTACTCACGAGCCACGAGCTCGTGGGTTGAGCCGAGCCCATGAACGGCTTGCGAGCTCGTGAATTTTTAATTTTAATTTTAATTTTAATTTTAATTTTTTGCAAATTTTTCAAATTTTATTGATAAATTTTTAATTTTTTCCACTTTTTGGGCGAGCCGGCTCGTGGGCTCGGCTCGTGAGCTCGGCCCACAAGCTGCTC